AGTGGACAAAAGAACGAAACCCTTTAAGAGCAGGTGAAGAGTCCATGCTTTAAATCAACGAAAATGTAACCTTCATGAATTAAATGATATTTTTCCCGTTAAACAAACAATTATACATAGAAAATTATGATCAAACAAATTTGACTTAAGAGAGATAAATTAATATATCTTTATGTAGGCATGCATTTAATCAAGTGTCAAGAGATCTTGTCTTCTATATATTTTATGTACTACAATAATTAATAGGAAATTCTATATATTTATTTCAAACCTATAAATCTTAAATTTGTTCTACTATTATCGCGCGAAATACTGTTAATATTGATTCTTACTAAACACGATAGTTATTTGAGAAATAAAATCACATCAATGCAGTATAACAACATCATCAAACATATACGTAATATATCCCTAAGAAATAATCCGTATTTTAAAAATGTTATTATTTCATTTGAGGGTAAATTTCATGTTGATATTTCACCCGAAAATATTAGTTTTCAAAATATATAAGACCAATTTTTATATATATATATATATTGTAATGAATGAAGAAAAATAGAAATCATACTTCAATCAACAATCAAATCTAACTAGCTACCCAGATCTACTCAAGCATGTTCTTTATATCATAAACGCAATATGAGAAAATGTTGAGAAAGATATAAAACATACCTTGGCCATCGCTTTAGAGGCATGATGCGTAGCGTCGGAGACGAAAGACTTATGAGCTTTGTGATCATTCTTTGGCGGAAGACTAATAGAGTTATTCAATTCATCACATAACAAGGATACTTTTGCCTGTTGCATTTGATGAACCAAGATTTACTCAAATAAGTTCTTTAATCATAAACGCAATAAGAAAAGATGTTGAGAAAGAGATCAAATGTACCTTGGCGGCCATCAATCTAGGCATGATGTGTAGGTCGGAGACTAAAGACTTATGAGCTTTGTGACCATTCTTAGGTGGAAGACGTTAGAGTCGATAAGAGATGCCATCCACTCAATATGTAAGCTAAGAAGGAGATGGATTCTTTTGTAAAGATGAGTGACACAAAATAAAGAGAATATGGATTTTGATTTGAGAGGCACAAAAGATTGATTAGGGTTATATATAATATAGGGAACTGTTTTTGTAGATTTCAAAACCCTAAAAAATTAATTTACTATTAACTTTTTATTTGAACAATTTAGATTTATTTCCCTCTTACAGTCAACAAAATGAAGATTAAAATGATTTCTTTCCCTATTGACATAATATTCTACCAAAAAATTGTTTTTTAAATGTTGACTGTGAATTCATGAATATTTTGTATTTTACTATAGAAACATATCTTTTTTTGTTTAATTCAAAAGAATGTGTCTATGTCTATATCTATATATTTTATATATATGATGTGTGAATACATGTAAAACATCTTTACCAAAAAAAATGCATGTAAAACATTTTCCTGTTACGATAAATAAATATTTGAAAGAAAACTTGAAAAAACAAATTATGATGTAATCAATAGAATTCAGAATTTTTTTTATCATTGCAAAATGTATCAGAACAACAAAATTAAAGACCGCATCATGTAAAGATGTCTATAACTTAGGCATGATTTTCAGGACAAAATAAATCCTAGATATATTAAAAGATTAGTCAAACACCAAAAACATTATTATATTAACTTGAAAACTGAGACCATATAATCTTCAAACTAGTATTTGAAGAGTTACTCTTATATTTTGGGTGTAAATGATAAGTTTTATACCATTTTCTGATTTATTTGCATACAACTTATTAAATAACCGAAGAGGAAAGAAGATAGACAGAAAAAGTTAAACAAAGTTTACACAACCAAAATATGTAGCAAGAAAAGAGGATGGAAGGGAACGAGAGCAGGCGATCTTGGAGAGAATGGTCAATTGTTTCGCGGTTGGCTGGAACTGTACTTGAATCCAAGGAGAAGATGTGGGAGTTGCGTTTCTTCCAGATAGCATAAATAGTCGCTTGAAAAGATGAGCTTGGTGAGGACAGATTCAGGAGTCTCATATTGAGTAGGAGGAAGGGATCTGGCTTAATTAGATTCACGCCACCAAAGGAGTCAGGAGGGTTTGAGATGAACTTACTTGTGAGGAAAGACCAAATCACCAAAGGAGAAAACTACATTCAAAAAACAGGTGATCATGAGTTCACATGTGTTGATCTTTTCTATGATCACAACTAGGTGGAGGGCTAGCAGACAAAGATATAACAAACTCCTAAGTTACCTCAGTTTTTTGCATTCGGCAATATAACCATTGACCATTTTTGGTAGGATCAGTAACACGAGCATCCTTAATTATCTTGGGCCACATTCCCCTATAGGAGGGAGATGAGGGAACCAGAAAGATGCAAGTTGACGATTAACAAGCTCACGTATCGCATGATTGATACTAATACTGGCTTCAGTTGTAACTTGTAACATACTTCTAATTAATGACGATATTTTTGTCTATTTTTTCAAGTTCTCTTTCTTATAATATATGTTAAATTTTATATAAAGATTTACGATTTTTAATCTGGATTTTCCTATTTAAGCTAATAAAATTTATTATATTGGTAAATAATCTCATATTTTTGGTAAATAGTCTCGTTAAGATTTATCTGTGACACATCAATTTTCAATTGTTTGATATATTGACTGAAACTGTAATTTCTATCATTTAATATTCGGTTTTTATTTATAATCCATGTAGTTTTTTATCAGTAAAAGTAATTGAAACTTTATAATATAATATTGAGAGAAAAATAAAATATGTATTTTGATATTCACTTTGTCATCCGCAACTGCAAGAAAAAAAAAAAAACGAAACAAATATAGTAGTTTATCTCAAATTATTTATTTGGGCTTCGCAATAATATTGGGCTTTCTTTAGGCCCATTTTAGAATTAAGAAGTGCTTTAGTTAAAAATCTCAGATAAACCTAGCCGTCGTCACCGTTCACCGTCTCCGTCGAAATCCCCATTACTTACGGCCGCCGCGAGCTCTTACACTTCTTACACTCTCTTGCCTGTTTTGATTTCTTTCGCTACGACAGTTTCGTGTATCAATTTCAGTTCTTTCTTTTGTTCTAGGTAAGCCACATACTCAAATTTTTGCGTTTCAGTTTCAGTGGAGTTAGAATAAAAAAGCTTCCTTTTTGCCTTCCAAGGTCGATGATGTTTCTTCTGTATATTGGTTTTATGATTCTCTTCTTTGTTTCAGACAATAGCCATGGGGTTACCAGATTCATCACAAGTCTTGTCGACAGAGATGGAAGTTGATGCTTTCAGACGAATCTTTCCTCTTCGTTTCTTTGAGCGTCATCTCTCTGAATCTCTCCGACCTGATGCTAGACCACTTGGAAAAGCCAGAGACACCATTGTTAACCTTGGTAATAATATGTAAATTACTTTGTTCAAAAGTTAAGTTGTTTGAAAAATGTCACCTTGATTGTATTTTCTTGTGTGTGTATAGGACTTGTTTCAACCGCTGATGGATCTGCTCTTGCCAAGATTGGTTCCACTGTAAGTGGCTGCCTTAGTCGGCAATGTTGTTGTGTTCCTATGTTTCTTACATAGTTTCTGTTTTTTCTTTCTCTCTTCTTGTTTATAGACTATGCTTGCTGCTATTAGAATGGAAGTTATGACTCCTTCTGCAGACTCACCAGATGAAGGAAGCATAGGTTGTTTATTGATTTTGTTCTATGTGATTTTGTTCGTTTTTGGTGTTTCAGTTTTTGATTGACTGATTCCTTTTGGTAGCTCTTGAGTTCCACATGCCTCCTATATGTTCTCCAACTGTTCGTCCTGGAAGACCAGCTGACGCTGCTCCCGTGATTTCAAAGCGTTTGTCTGATACTATTCTAAGGTGTTTCAGATGGATCTTTCTCTACTCATTCTCCTTGGGCTGCAAATACTATGTCGTCCCTTTCTAAATTGTGTCCCTTTGTTACAGTTCTGGAATGATTGATCTTAAAGAACTGTGCCTTGTTAGTGGAAAAGCTGCTTGGATGGGTTATCTGGTGAGTACATGCTAGTTTTAAATCCCGCTTGCACCTCAATTGATTTCTTACATGTTTTCTAGCTATTGATTCTAGGGAAGTATCTCTTTGTAAGTTAGTTTTATTTATGAACATTGTTGCTCTCTAAACTTTTTCATAGGACATATATTGCCTGGATGCTGATGGTGCTCTTTTCGATGCTGCTCTGCTTGCTGCTGTTGCAGCCTTTTCAAATTGTAAGTTCTTCTTCATTCTTATCCATTAGTTTGCTGCATAGCTCTTCTAGAACTCCTTAGACTACACCCATTTTCTAAGCTAGAACTGAAAGTTTGAAATTTTAAGTTATCAAAGAAATGTAAGCATTAGATCAACCTTTACTTATTAAGCCATATGTCATTATATATCTGTATAAAAGCAGCTCGAAACATAACTTTAACTGAGTCATACCAAAGTCAAATATTTCCTCTGATGCATAAGAGATCTTTATATTGCAGTGCAAATTCCAGTTGTTGCTCTGAATGACAATGGAAGAATAGTTGCCATCACTGGAGGAAAAGATCAAGACAATGCTTCAATCATCGAGAAAAAAGCAGTGAACAAGGAGAAGAGAAAACTTACGCTTAACAACATCCCTTTCTCTTTAACTTGCATACTCCACAAGAACTATATCTTAGCAGATCCAACAACTGAAGAAGAAACGATCATGGACACTCTTGTGACTGTTGTTTTAGATTCCTCGGATCATATGGTTTCTTTCTACAAATCAGGAGGAACCGTTCTCGCTTCTTCATCAGCCATCAAGGTGAGACTTTCAGCTTCCTCTTATGTTAATCCACTACTTAGTTTACAACGTTCTTATAAAGTTGCCTTGCGGGTTTTGCTTTATGTAGAGCTGTGTCGAGTTAGCAAGGACGAGGGCAAAGGAGCTTAAGCAGATTTTGGGGGAGATGGATATTGACTAATCAATCAGAAGGAATACTTGTGAGTTGTGAATCATTCCATAACATTGTTGAAATTTTGTGTTACATATTTTAAGCAATTAGTGCCAAAGGAAGAAGCTCTTCACCATTTTTGTTTCATTGTAATACTGTTCGTTGATCATATAACGACTTTTAATTTAGAGTAAGTGTGTGATCATCGATATCCATCTCACACGAACTGAAAATATACGTTTTGAAAATGCTCAAACAGACGAACCCAAAACAACATAGCAAGTTTGTTTCTGATTAGGCTTTTCTAAACATCAAAATAATGTTAGGGTATGTTCAGAACCCGTGATCGTGATTTCTTGAAAGATCATGTCTGGTCATAGCTCTAGATCAGATGCAAACAACAGCATAGCAAGTTTCAAGCACGCGAATTATGGATGGACATGCAAGCTTGGGACGCTCTTGTAACTGTGGTAGATCTAGACAGATGAAAATCCAGGAAGAAGAATATAAGCAATATGATCACAGAGTAAAGCCATGAAAAAATAATCATTTTGAATCTGTCGGAGAAATTTTACTTGATAGGATACTTAACAGCCGTATTAAAAAATTTCAACCAATCCAACTTAAAGCTAGGAACGTCCTCCAAACTCCAAAGACACGAGACTCTCACAGTGATTGGGATAATAGTGGATATATTCTTCAATGTTATTTTTCAAGAAGTCTTCTTCTTCATCTTGAACCCCTTCATATTTGACCCTCCTTATACGGTTTCTCTTTGGATCATAGTACAAAACATAAATTGCTTTAGACGTTGTTTCAGTATAAATAAACTCACAAGTATCATGAGTGAAACCTCTTAGTCTCAAGTAAACATTCGGGTCAACTAATCCTGGAAAAGGCCGAATAAATCTTCTTTGCGACCATTCTTGTTTCTCTTTATCCTCCAGAACCCAAAACCTTATATAAGAGAAGTCGGAGCAAAGCCATGCTACTTTTCCATTGTAATTGAAGAAAAATTTCAAAAGTGCAGCCTCAGCTGGTTTTCTGATAATGTTGAACTCTTCATACCTCACATCAAAGCTCATACGGTATTCTTCCGTTTTAAAAGTACCATCGACTCTCAAAATTGCTTCATAATACACATGCCCATTGATGCATATACTTTTTCCTCGCAATGTGCCAGTAGATACATGTTTAAGGCTATTTCCGCACACTCTCCATGTTTCTCGAGGTCCCAATGTGAAAACAAGAGGATCTTGGTATCTACAGATTGAGATGCACAAGACTTTATACTTGTCCTCGACCGGATCATATCCTAAAAAGTTACATACAAATAGTCGTTCTGAAGGTTGGGGTAGCTTAACATGTTGTCTTATGGTTGGATTCCAAACTATAATATTTACAGAAAAAGCTCCCAAGCATATCAAGCCATTGACTGATTCGGACCCGTGGTAATGATAAAACTTGGGAGCTACTATCTCATAACTTTCCCGTACATGCGGATTAGATGTTCTGTCCGGATGGTCATGTTGGGGAATCGAGTTGAAGATACGACACTTTTTCGATGTCCTTACACAGACTAAAAGACACAACTGTGTTGAAGACCGACTACCGAACGAGCTGATGAAATCTGGACGAGTGGTGATGGATGACCATAGCTTTGATACGCAACGGAACCTCCCAGCAGATTTAGCAGGCAGTCTCAAGAGTATCTCATGGATCAGATCAGTAGGAATCATGTCGAGAAACTTACTAAAGCTCTTTTCTTCTTTAGATTCTATACTTTTTTCCCTATCTTCCACCACTTCTTCTAGTCTAGTTATAGGCGAGACCTAGGGTTTTTTTTTTAAAGATAATTTTTGAGAAATACCTTTTTGATAGTTTAAAATTTATCCAAAAAAATATGTTTAAGCTTGTATATACAAATCATCTTTATATGTGTTTAAAATTTTATATATATTTATAAATACTGTATAATAACCTTTTAAAAACCATTTAAAACATTATAAGAACCTACTAAACCATATAAAAATTTTATAAAAGCCTTTCCACCCAAAAAAAAATCTTATAAAAGCTTTTGAAAATCTTATAAATTTTTGATTGAGTCTCTTAGTAGTAGTCATATTTGAAAAGTTGTATTTTTGAAAAGTGGTATTGGAAAAGTGTATTTTTAAAATTCCCCATTTCTTAGAAAAGTACTTGGGGTGAACCACTCTTGTTAACCCCCTTTCTAATAGCCAATCAAAATAAATCCAAATTAAAATTTTAAAAAGAAAATTAAAGTTACAAATTCTGTCGGATTTTTATTAAGAAAAATATATATTTCAGTTTGGGTTTATAAAAGAGTGGTTAGAGTTTAAATTTTATACATAAAAAAATTGTATTTCGGTTTGGGTTAACAAAATAGTGGTTAAGGTTTAGATTTTGTAATTAAACGAAATTATATTTCGGTTTGGGTTGACAAAACAGTGGTTAGTGTTTAGATTTTGTAACTAAACAAAATTATATTTCGGTTTGTGTTGACAAAATAGTAGTTAGGGTTTAGATTTTGTAATTAAACGAAATTATATTTCGGTTTGGGTTGACAAAATAGTGGTTGGGATTTAAATTTTGTAATTAAGTTTGGGTTGATAAATAGTGGTTAGCGTTTAGATTATTTAATTAAACAAAATTATATATTTCGGTTTAGGTTTATAAAAGAGTGGTTATATTATACAGATTTTGTTTCCATAATCTATTTTGTTTTAATGATTTTAATTTTGATTTATTTTTATATATAGTATGAAGTGGTAAATTACTTCATTTTAATTGGTTAATCTAATAAGTGGTGGATAAGGAAGTTCATACATACTATATATGAGTAATTTGCCACATCATACTATATTTGCCACTTCATAATTCGCCTGCTAGAAGCTTGGGACGTTATTGTAACTGTGGTAGATCCGCTATCAAGTTAATGTCTTGGACATGAAAATTCGAGAAGATCATAGCAACATGATCACAGAAATACTAAAATGCATGAAAGAATAGTCATTTTGAATCAGTTAGAGAAATTTTACTTGATTGGATACATAATAGCCCTATTTATATTCTCAACCAATCAGGCTCAAAGCCAGGAACGTCCTTCAAAGACACGAGACTCTCACAGTGATTGGGATAATAGTGAATATTTTCTTCAATGTTATTTTTCAAGAAGTCTTCTTCTTCTTCTTGAAGCCCTTCATATTTGACCCTCCTTATACGGTTTCTCTTAGGATCATAGTACAAAACATAAATTGCTTCAAGCGTTGTACAAGTATAAATAAACTCACAAGTATCATGAGTGATACCTCTCAATCTCAAAACAACTAGCCAGATCGGGTCACGTAATCTTGGAAAAGGTAGAGGAAATTTTCTAGGTGACCATTCTTGTTTCTCTTTATCCTCGAGAACCCAAAACCTTATACAAGAGACGTCCGAGCAAAGCCATGCTACTTTTCCACTGTAGTTGAAGAAACAATCGCAAAGTTTATCATTAGCTGGTTTTATGATAACGTTGAACTTTTCATACCTCACATCAAAGCTCATAAGGTTATCTTCTGTTTTAAAAGTATCACCGACTCTATATTGTATCTCCGCTTCATAATAGACATGCCCGTTGATGCATATACCTCTTGCTCCAAATGTGCGTGAAGGGCTATGTGTAAGGTTATTTTGGGCCACTCTCCATGATTCTTGAGGTCCCAATGTGAAAACAAGAGGATCTTGGTATCTACATATTGAGATGCACAAGACTTTATACTTGTCCTCGACCGGATCATATCCTAAAAAGTTACATACAAATAGTCGTTCTGAAGGTCGGGGTAGCTTAACATGTTGTCTTATGGTTGGATTCCAAACTATAATATTCCCATAAGGATCTGCCAAGTATGTTAAGCCATGGACTGTTTCGGACCCGTGGTAATGATAAACCCTAGGAGCATATATCTCATATTTTTCCACATGCGGATTGTATGTTCTGTCCGGATGCTCATGTTGGGGGATTGAGTTGAAGATACGACACTTGTTTAATGTTCTCGCACATATTAAAAGACACAACCGTGTGGAAGACGGACTCCCGAACGACCTGATGAAATCTGGACGAGTAATGATGGATGACCATAGCTTTGAGACGCAACGGAACCTCCCAGCAGATTTAGCAGGCAGTCTCAAGAGTATCTCATGGATCATATCAGTAGGAATCATGATCAGTATCTCAGATCAGCAGATTTAGATTCTAATTTATAAAAGGTTTGAAGACTTCGATAAAATCTTAGAAAGTGTATAAGTAAAAGATTTTAGAGGATTGCTTGAGAGTTTTCTATAATCTTGTTGATTAGTTTTTATATAATATTGTAAAGTCTTTCAAATAATCTCTCCCTTTTAATAGTATAGATTTATTTTGTGAAAAAGTGTATACAATCATAAACCAATTATTACAAATAATTGAATTCATTAACAATCCAAGATTCTTTTTTTAGTTAAATAACACATAACAAAATATTATGACTTTATAAAATTGTGAATCCAATAACACCATATTTATTAAGATTTTAAATGACTTTTTACAAATCACAAATCACAAACTAATAACATCAAACCTTAATAGAATTAAACAAAATCAAATTCTATGTAACATTTATAGTTATTAAAACTCTATTTAAATACAAACAATAACAACCCAATTTTTATTTTTTTTTGTTATTATTGAATCAAGAATTATTGTCCTGCATTCTGTTGTTGGTGCATTTTCGAATTGTGAATTCTTCTATGTTCTCATCCTTTAGTAGTTGATTTAATGAATCTAATTTTTTTTTTTTATATAAGTAACGCCATTTTTTATATAGGTTGGATATAGAACATCTAATAACGAGTAAAGCCAAAGGAAAAAGAAGCTCTCTTCACAATTTTTGTTTTCAATGTGTCACGGTTTTGGTGATCATATAACGAGTTTTAATTAGTGTTAAGGGTGCGATCATATATGCTCTCTCCATTTCAATTAAACGGATTACAAATTCTCATCAAACCAGAAGCAATTAGCATTAAAATAAAATAAAAAATGCTACTTTCGTGAATCTTACAATTAGCCTAAGAGATCTAACCCAACAAAACCAAAAAAAAAAAATAAAGATTATCCTTGATCTTATATTGGTTTTTCTTTTTGCAAGAGGCATCATATCTAAACAAAAAAAAACAAATGAATACAAAATCATACACAGTAGGGTTTTTTTTTCTTCATTGTCACACTAATTGGTAAATCTTTTGTTTTGTTCTATCATAAAGGCTATAATTTGAGATTGAGATTTGGGAATTGAAATACTTAAAAAATAGGCAAACTTAAATCGATAAAAACATTTCAAGTATCCGCCACCCATATCTCATCTCTCAAATGAATCCATATGATCAACGCTCTCTCTAAAAACAAACAGATCAAAACCATATGAGTTTCATCAAGCCAACTCTAAGACAGAAGAGATAGATGAGTACGTCGATATCTATTAGTTATGAAATCACATCTATGAGAGTATATGAATCAAAGACAGAGAGATTTCGACGTAGCGGCCACAGACTTTTGTTTTTTCTTGTTTGTAAAAACTAATTTAATATTAGGGTAAGATTTTTTTTTTTTTTAAACTTAATTATATAAAAGCCATGACACTAGAGTCATACAGTTTTTACAGCATGAAAATAATACAGACATATGCCAATGTTACAAGTAAAATAGAGATGGTAACCAAATCTTCCCCTTTGGTTGGATTCCTAGAACAACACCAGAGAAAAACTAGACTTGTTCATGGTTCCCGCGTCCCCGACTACCTCTTCTTCAAGCAACAGAAGATTCTAGTATCTCCTTAGCTTTGATGGACAATTGAACCGGTCGTTCACGTAAAATTTGTTTCCGGAGTTAGTTGAGAGTGCTCTTAGGGTAAGATTTGTTAAGAGTGTTCTTATATGATCACAGATATTATATAGTCTTGGACAGCTGAAAATCCGGGAAGAAGATTATAGCAACACATGATCACAGAGATATATACTAACTAAAAAGCATGAAAGAATAATCAGTTTAGATTTGTTGGAGAAATTTTACTTGATAGAATACATAACACAGCCCTATTTAAATTCTCTCAGCCAATCCAACTTAATTAAAGCTAGGGCCTAGGAACGTCCTCCAAAGACACGAGACTCTCACAGTGATTGGGATAATAGTGGATATATTCTTCAATGTTCTTTTTCAAGAAGTCTTTTTCTTCGTCTTGAACCCCTTCATATTTGACCCTCCTTATACGGTTTCTCTTAGGATCATAGTACAAAACATAAATTGCTTCAAGCGTTGTACGAGTATAAATAAACTCACAAGTATCATGAGTGATACCTCTCAATCTCAAAACAACTAGCCAGATCGGGTCATGTAATCTTGGAAAAGGCAGAGGAAATTTTCTAGGCGACCATTCTTGTTTCTCTTTATCCTCGAGAACCCAAAACCTTATACAAGAGACGTCGTAGCAAAGCCATGCTACTTTTCCACTACTGTAGTTGAAGAAAGAATCGCAAAGTGTATCATCAGCTGGTTCTCTGATAACGTTGAACTTTTCATACCTCACATCAAAGCTCATAAGGCATTCTTCCGTTTTAAAAGTATCATCGACTCTCAAAAGTATCCTTGCTTTACAATACACATGCCCATTGATGCATATACCTTTTACTTTAAATCCGGTAGCGATATGTTTAAGGCTATTTCGAGACACTCTCCATGATTCTTGAGGTCCTAATGTGAAAACAAGAGGATCTTCGTATCTACAGCCTGCGATGAGCAAGACTTTATACTTGTCCTCGACCGGATCATATCCTAAAAAGTTATATACAAGTACTCCTTCTGAAGTTTGGGGTAAGGTAACATGTTGTCTTATGGTTGGATTCAAAACTATAATATTCCCATAAGGAACTCCCAAGCATATCAAGCCATTGACTGATTCGGACCTGTGGTAATGATATAACTTGTGAGCATCTATCACATAACTTTCCCGTACATGTGGATTAGATGTTCTGTCCGGATGCTCATGTTGGCGGATTGAGTTGAAGATACGACACTTGTTCAATGTTCTCACGGACACTAAAAGACACAACCGTGTTGAAGACCGACTCCCGAACGACCTGATGAAATATGGACTAGTGGTGATGGATGACCATAGCTTTGAGACGCAACGGAACCTCCCAACAGAGATTTAGTAGGCAGTCTCAAGAGTATCTCATGGATCAGATCAGTAGGAATCATGTCGAGAAACTTACTAAAGCTCTTTTCTTCTTTACTATATGTTTTTCCCTACCTTCCACCTCTTATTCCCCTCTATTAGCAGCGACCCACTAGGGTTTTTTTTTTTATTAACCCTATTTTTCTTCGTCTTGGGTCTCTCTCTCACGTAGTCGTCATCATATATTATATAGAAAAAAATGTTCCAAAAAAACAAAAAACAAAAAAAAAACGAAAACAAAACCTCTGAGAGGCTTTTGAGTTTTAGTACGTTTCTAGTTTTTTTTTTTTTCTTTTTTTCTTTGCTATTATTGATTCAAGAATTCTTATATGTATCGTCTAGTGATGATCATAGATGATACTCTTGTCGTTGTTGTTTGCTTTTGCTTGCGAATACCAAAAAGACATTTAGTGTTAAAGGAAGACGAATCTCTCTTCACCATTCTTGTTTTCAATGTTTAAACTTTAAAGATTTTGGTGGTCATATATCGAATTTTTAGTGTTAAGCGCAACTGTATAAGGGGCAATCATATATGGTCTCTCCATTTCAAACGAAGTTAAAATAATTCAATAGATTGGTTTTTACAAATTCTCATCAAACCAGAAGAGCAATTATCGTTAAAATAAAATAATAAATCCAATGTTCTTTACAAGTAAATCTTACAACACGAAGCAAAGAGATCTAACCCAACAAAACCCAAAAAATGATCATCTATGAACTTGGATTGGTTTTCTTTTTGCATAGACCGAGGCATCATATATAATTATATGTAAGGACTTTGAAGAAAAAAAACAAATGAAATTATTGTAAGGTATCAACATGATCATAGATCTATGATTTGTGTGTTCTTTCATAAAGGGTGCAATTCGAGATAGAGATTTGGGTTTCAAATACTTCAAAAATTGGCAAACTTAATAAATCGACCAAAACAAGTATCTGAAACCCAGATCCCATCTCAAATGAAACCATATGATCAACGCTCCTCTCTAACAACAAACATGTAACCACATGAGTTTCATCAACGTAACGCTAAGACATAAGAGAAAGAGATGAGTACGTCGATATCTATCAGTTGTGAATTCACATATATGAATCAAAGACTTCACAACAGAGAGATTTCGACGTAGCGGCCACCTACTTTGTTTTTTTATTTGTTTTCTAAAACCCTAGTTTTGATGTATTAGGTCTCTCCCCTTCTCACGTATTTATACTACTACAACAATATTGTTGCCCTAGAAGAAAACACAAACCTTCTAAGTCAATCAGAGGGTTTCGAGTCTTGATCTGTTACCGTTAACCGTTCCGTTTCGAATCCGCAACTCCGTTGGTAATTTTCCGTTTCCCTTTAGTGAAGAACAAGCAAATTACACAAATACCCTTCTCTCTCTCTTTCTCTTTCTTTCTCTTGTTGTTCATCTTTTCATCGACAGTGGAAGAAGAGAGTTAGAGAGATCAGAGTGAATTCTAAAGAACTCTTCAGATCTGGGAATTGAGTTTCGTAGATCTATGATTTGTCAAATCTGTTGATCCGTTTTCTTCCGCAAATCTTCCCCCGGATCTGATTTTGAGCTTTGGAAGTGTACCGCTCCGGCGTTGATACGACCAATCATGAATCCTTTCTCTTCCGGCACGCGTCTCAGGTTAGGAATCTACATTGTTGCGTTTTTCGAGTTTCGAAACCGTAATGTAGCTTTGATTTTTACTGGGGAATCTCTAATTCTCGGCAATTCGATTTGGAGAGTGATGTTTTATTGGAAATTGTATTGGTTGATTCTGGAATGCAGTGTTTTTTTAGCTTTTTGTATTTTGTAAGTGAGATTAGGCATGTTCTTGGCATTTGATCATACTGATTCTAGTGTTTTGATTATATAAGTGTATGCTTTATATTCAAGTAAAATCTTGGAAATTGGTACTGGAGATGTATAAATATGATAAAAGAGTAATACAGGGTATTGAGTGAAACTTAAGAATGGTGAAGAATGTGTAAATTAGACGGCAAAAAGGGTTGTTTTTCCACAAATTTTCAAGAAGACTG